AATAAAGGCACGTGAAAAAATTTTAGTGGTAATCGTAAGGTCGTAAACGAATTGACCAGCTACAATCGATTATTTTTAGACTGTAAGAAGAATAATTGATTCTGATTGGTCAATTTGCTTATGATCTTACGATTACGATTAAAATTTTTTTGACTTTTGAGTTGACTTTTAGTAATTGATTTTTTTCTTTTTTCCACGAATAAATAAACTGTAACATAATTATCCACCGAATAATTCGAGGTATCGAATAATTACGTTTTTTGTTACATCTAAAGCGAAGTGGCTTTTAAAGGGCCGAAAGTGCACCGAAGTGCAGGATAGTACAGAGTAGTGCAGACAACTTCGATTTAGCGTTGATCACTCACTAATCGTGTGTATGACAAAATATTGCATTATCGAAATGACTCATTAAGTCTCTACGAGGCGTTGACTATAGGAGACGTTACCGGAATTTTATTCTCGTTGTTTTATTTGCAAGAATCTAATCTGTATAAATTATTTTACACAGCTGTGGTTGGCAAGCGACAATGGCGTGACCGAAATCGCGACGCAAATCGGTGAAAAAATTGAAACGTCAATATAATGAAACGGAGAGAAGTTTCTTTCTAAAAGGTAGTAGCAACGTGTTCACGTATAATTTTTTTACGAAAAGAAATGGAAATTTTTCCGACGAATTCAGCTGCAAACGTGCTCGCTCTTTTCTACTTGATGTGGTTCATGTTGAGATTTATGCTTGGGATGTGGATTTCTTGATCTCTAGTACTTTCAACTAAATCTAACTCATGTATTACTCTATTGATAAACTGTCTTTATTTTAATAATACAATACTTACGCTAAATGTACAAGAAAGAACAATAGAATGAATTTCTTATGGCAAATTTGGGCATTTACATTATTAGATTAACGTATGTTGAAAACTGCTATATGTGAAATTATTTAAATATATACAAACAGTTTAAATAATTAAAATGTAACCCATTAATGTTTTCATGTTATTTAACAGAATATGTATTAATTATTTTATTATACTGTAAATTAAAGTGATTAATCTAGAAGAAAAAAATATATATTTCTTTTATTTGTGAATTGTATTTTATGAAAATTTTTAATAAAATGGCTCAAAGTAAGATATATTTATGATTCATCTTACGTAGAACTCATTTGTATAATAAAAACCAATAAAATATAGAGACAAGGTGATCTTGGAATAAGGTAAAATCGCTTTATGGTATCATTGTGTTTAGATACTTTATATATAGTAATTTTTGAAATATTAATCTAAAGTGACTGAATTCATTAATATTTTATATATTCACAGAGTGGAATTCAAATGTTAAGAAAGAAAAGAACAAAGAAATAAAATTTGTTGTTTAGATTTAATGTTAAGCAATAATGTCTATTTTTGTCCAATGGGTTAATTTTAATCTCAGTTTAATTTATTCTTTATCTTTTGATAACTTTTATAACTAAGAAAAGATAAAAAGAAAATTATACTGAGATTAAAGTTAATCTCAGTAAGTATATTAGTAAAAATAAGCATGAATAAGTTTGATTATCCTTGTTTCATAAAAGAACATGTTATATAGAAATACATATAGATAAATTTAGTATTTTTACATTCATACATTTGATTCTATATATGAATTATGTCCATGATTTAATTCATTTTTTATTATCTTTTAAAGTATAAGATAAAGAATATAATCAATTATATTATAATTAATATTAAACTGAGATAGTTAATTTACATTGGTAGACATGGACATAAGTAAAAATAGGTTATTTATAATGTTTGTATATTTATGCTTATACTTTTGTAATATCAAATTGTAATTAAATCTATATTTGATGATATAAAATAAATCTTTATACTTATCTATAGAAAACTGTAGATATTTTTTAAGAGATCACGTTAAACATTATTTATATATATTTTTATAATATTTATTAAATGAAATTTTAGTTAATTTTTTTCTTGACACTGTTGTTTGCCCTACTTAAGTGATAGTGTTTTTTTATTTTTTCTTCAAGCACAATAATTTAAAAATTTGTTTACGTGTAAATTTTCCTGGCACTGTTTTCTTTTTAGTTATGAATTCTTTCTTTTTTATTACAGCCAATTCCAATAAAAAAGCAAAAACAATGCCTCAAACAACTACTATTGAAACTCTCACTGTAACCAGACCATTTAAGGTAAGCTTGAAGTTTAATCGGAGCATACATCTTTTTTATTTATTACAAATGAGTTATTTATTTATGTATCGTGTATATACTAATTTTCTTATAGTTTACAAAATTCTCGTTCAATAAAAATATAAATAAAATAATAGCAAGTAATGATTATTGGAGTCAGGAAAGATCAGGATAAGAGAGGGATGAATAGAAAGAGACCGACTGTGGAGAGGAAAGAAAGAGAAAGGGAAGGAAAAGAAAGAATTAAAAGAGGAAGAAGAGCGAAGAAAACCGAGAGAGCGCAGAGATTGGCACTCGCGCGCATTGCGCCGCGACCTTTAATGGGCGCTGATGGGCGCAGCCTCCCTGGAACCTGGAATCCGATTGCTTCCCCCTCCCCCCAATCCCAGTCGCGGAGAGTCAGTGCTCTCGCTTGAGACGCGGTTTTCTCGTTCGCTTTCTCCTCCCTACCCTCCCGCGCGAATATCACGGTCATTAAAAATCATTCGCGTCCGTGAGAGCGGTGGAAGGGGGTGCAAAGATCCGAACACTGCCATCGATCTGTGATCCGATCGTTCTGCGGAAAAAGAGAAACATAAAAGAAAAAAATAGGAAAAAAAACGAAAAAGGTAGCGTTACAGGGGGTTGCCCTCGTCCGATAATACGTTGCGGGCCGCCAGCCAGCGCGACGAAAGCCATTGACCCGCGCGCCCGTTAATCAACCCTCTCCCCACCACTAGGCGAATTCACGATCGTCGTTCGGAACCCTCGGCACACGTTACCCCGCGACGCGCGTATCTCTAGAGAAAAAAAGATAAAGACAAAGGGTGGATTTTTCGGGGTGGGTTCTTTCCGAGGGTTCTGTCGACTTAGGTGTCAACGACGAGAATCAGAGAGCGGATGATGTCTCACGCGTGCCGTCCCGCAGCATTGAGAAGCGCGTTATCATTATCATCGTCGCCGTCGTCGGCGTGTATACTTCTCTGAAGAAACGTCGCGGAGGAGAACCTCCCCTCGTCTCGATCGTGATCACCGGAGTTTGCTCCAACTAGCGCTATCGAGTTTTCGCGTGTGCTCTCTCCACGGATCAGGATTGCGAATTTGAAAGTGAAATGATTATGTACACGGTCGCCGAGGATCACATGGGCGACAATGAGATCGCGCAGGTATCATATCACCAGGAAATTCTCTCCCCTGAGATCATCATGCACGAAATGTTTGATAGTATTTTAAGCAGTGGAATAACTGTGAAGTGAGAGATTCACTATATTGTTCTTGTATTCATTCTCATTTGTTTGCAGGTGATCGCATTCATATGTGGGATCATAGTGGTGCTGTTGATGATAATGGGTCTGGCGTCGACCGACTGGTTGATGGCTCTGGGATGGAGACAGGGCCTATTCGCTCACTGCATCGAGGAAGGTGCTCCGACGCCACTTCCCTTTAATATGCCCGATCCACCAGGATGTTATCCAGCGAGAGATAGCGGTACCGTTTGTTTTCTTAATAAACCTGAATATAAAAATAATGCCTAACTAGACTTTAATCATGTATTTTATCTTACAGCTTATATAAAGGCGGCTGCAGCCTTATGCGTGTTATGCCTTTTGACAGACATTGCTGCGACTATTCTCACTGGCCTGGGTTTGCGTACGCAGGATCATAGAGACAAGCACAAATACTATAGATTTGCAGTATTTTGCATGGCTCTTGCATGTGAGTACATATAAATGCCTGCTTCTTTTTCTTTGTTTTTTTTTTTTCGCTTTTTATATATTTGGTTATTATATATTTCATTTCTGTATGTTCCAGTGGTGTCCCTGTTAATAGCGCTGATTATATATCCAATTTGTTTTGCAGCAGAATTGAATCTTGGTAAGTTTTTAGTAATGAATTTTACATATAATTGTCCAAATGATTTGATTATATTAAGATAATTATAGTATAGCAACAAGTCATCAAAAATAAAAAGGAATATATTTCTTATATTTATACTGTTTGAAATATCAGATAAATAGATTTGGAATTAAGAAATTAAATATAAACAAAATAAAATAATACGATTAATATTTTTATGAAAAAAATATTTATAATTAACATTTTTCTTAATAATAACAAAATCTTTTGATTGTGAAACCTTTTGGTTGTGATACTACAAAAGAAAAAAAAATTAATGATTTATAGGAAGATTTTAAGTACAATAGATGTCATCGATTAATTTTAATAAACATGAAATTAATTTTAATAAACATGAAATATAAAAATAATCGATACATCAAATTAATAATTTTAAAATAAAATATATTCTATATATTTTTTATTAGTGTTTTTTATTAGTTTTTGTATTAGCGTTGCAAAATATTTCTCTCTAAAACTAAATGCAAATTTAAAACTTGAATGTCCAACTGTTCGGATAGTTATGTTCTTTTATGTAAATACATAGGAAAAATAACAATAGTCTATTTAATTTTTGTCAATGTTTTGATAAACGTAGCATACATCTTTAAATTAAAAATATATATATAAAAAATACATCGTTTTGTATATGTGTACAGTTGAATTTAAGAGATATATAATTATAGGAAATCGAACTAATTGGGAATTCGGTTGGGCGTATGGCGTTGGTTGGGGCGCGGTCATCTTTTTGGTTGGAGGAGCAGTATTGTTATTATGCGAGAAAGAAAGTGAAGAAATTTATTATAAGGAGAAAAAAACTGTCCGCGATGATATAGGAAGTGGCGGTTCCATGATTGGCATGGGACATCACGCTGGACGAAGTGGAACGCAGCTAGCCTAGTGGCATTGCTCCCTGCCCGATGTTGTTCTCTAGGTGATTTGTTTCATCTTTCTGCTCTCACAGTTCGACACATGCGCATACGAGAAGATATACAGGCCTATAAGAATGATTTTTCGGTAGGGCGTTTTCGGCTAATGTGGACAAGGAAAACTCTTACAGATTCTCGAATTGATCCAACGTGGATTTTGATATATCAAAGTATCTAGTGGTGTCTTAAATACACATGATGGAAAAAACGAATAATCTTTTATATGAAAAAGAAAAATTAGAAAATCTTCGTCTTTTATGAAACTTCCAATGTTTGAGTTTTATATTAAAATATTTAATGCTGAGACAGGAAAAAAATAATAACATGTTCCTTATGAAATTGACTTGAAATTAGTCGAAGAATTTGTAAGTCAGTTTTCACTGTCGTTAAAAATATGGAATAGATGTAATCCGTTCATTAGATGGGTGTGTATTCAAGTTACTATCAGTTTGATGTAGACAACATGTTGTTAAATAAGTAACACGCATTTCGATTTTTCTTTGTTTCCGACTATTTACTTAACAATCACAATTTTTATACTGACAATTTTGGGACCATTATTAGCTTGATTCTGTTTTCATACTTCCTACATTTTGCATGATCTCGAACAATTTTATATACACACGTGTATAATATCTTTTACTGTAATTTAAAATCTCGAAGGATTTATAATGTGACAACGCTGCATTTATTGTCCGTAAACTAAATTAATAAGGATATGCTCTTTACCAAATCTCAGAGATTAAAGACAATTCCAGCATAGATTTCATGTTTCTTTCGCATAAATAATATTTATGCACATACAGATTATATTCATTTGTCTATAGTGATTTAGTTTGATTAATTGATCATTTTTAAATATTCTATATTTAACATTAAACATGAAAAATGGCTGGAAGCAGCTAAGTAGAGAAATTATATTAAAACTCATTTTACATTAAGTGAATAATATAATATTTCTCTTAGATTTATTTCTAATATTTATAATATATAAAGTTTTTTGAAACTTTAAAGGTACAGATATAAAGGTTTTAGATTTTCTTTAATTCCTGATAGATTTATTTTTTCTGGTGTATCTTGAGATTTTAGTGCTTACAGTTGCCTAATAAGATAGAGCTCGATTAAATTAATTAATTAATTAATTTTTGATTAAATATCGATCTCACGTCAGAATTTATTCTGTGGATATTATCTAATATATAACAATATGATTTACTATTTTACAACAATGATTTCCTTCTATTAGTTATTTCTTTCATTTCATTCATTTTCTTCTACAATGATAAACATATCTCACATTCTGTTTAGTTTTATTAACCTGAATTCAACAATATAGAGAGTGCTCTAAGGAAAATATACTTTATAAAATATATCGTACTCAAAAAATTTTTAGTGAAGAAATGAAGAGTTTAACTTGAAAAAAGATTATTAATTATTTCAAAATCAAATTATTATTAAAAGTAGAAAGCGATCAATTCTACATTTATAAAAATAGAAAAATAAAAGTTCTTTTTTATTAAGGAAGATATAATAATATAAAAATACAATATTGTTTGTGTAATCTTATAATATTAAAAAACAATAAGGATTTTATAAGGATTTATTTTATTGAATGTTTCTTCCATTAACTTTTAAGTTGAAAACGAATGCTTCTATTATTCTATACTTAACAAATATAAATCTGTTTCAAAGCACTCGAGTAATACCGTCCAAATATTCAGAATATTTCTGTTGGGACAACTTGCACATTCATAATCGAAACTTTTGAATATTCCAACAAAAAAGAAACATATATAAATTATTTGCTGTTACTAAAACTTGTTTATATTTATATGTAATGATAACTGGAAAAAGTAATGTAGAAACAATATAAAATTTACTGTAAAAGTTCAACTTTGAAAAAAATACATTTAAAGCTTTCTTTTTTTCATTCTTTATTTTAATATTCTTTATTTCATTCTTGCGTAATAAAATCATAACTTCATGAACAATTGTATATTCATAATTGCTTTCAGGAAAAGTAAAAATCACAAGATATAAAAATAATATATCTGCTTATATATCTTTTTCCAGTTGCTGTCTTAATTACATATTAATTTACATTTTTTTATTTTATTAAAAATGTCTAGATGTGATAATGTATTATGATATATATTTATCTTTTTGTCAGGTTTTCTGTAAATGTAGTGTATATATTATGTAGATGCTAGTAATTTATTATTAATTTCTATGCACACATATACACATCCTCTTTTTGTTTATTTTTCTTCTCCATTTCCCCTGCCCCCTTTTTCTTATTTTACATATAATTCACATATATTACTAATATATACTAATATATATATATATATATATATATATATATTATATTGAAATCTGCCAATTTTATTACATGTCATAAATTTTCGATATGCGTAGCGTGAGGGCACACATCATGAGAAGAAAATAATTAATATACACTATTTAATACAAACTTAAGCTATAAAGCAAATAAAGCGCTTCATTATTTTTTTATCCTACATTTTAGATTTTATTATTAACGGCTGTAAATTTCTTTGCGATAAGAAGCTTTATTGCAAACTGACAGTATGTCAGTATTTAATCTTTAAGTATTAATCATTTGAATATCAAAATGATAGCGCATGACTGAGATGATATATAAATTTTGCTTGAATCTTACGAATCATTTGTGAATGTTTTTTTAGTCATTAATCGGAAAAAAACAAAGCGAAATGAGTGTGCGTTAGCATAATAAAGAATGGCCGATTAAGGTTTATTATTATTACATGTCATCAATCATCCTTATTCTTTTTATTGCGATTCCTGTTTTTTTTTATTGGTGTATTGTGAACATTGATTGCGAACAGAAAAGATTGTAGTAACGTATGTATCGAAAAAGATATGGACCCTGTGCAGCATAAAAGCAATAGAGTTTCTTTCGAAAGCGAAGCTCTTATATAGCGAAGCGTAGCAATATCCATCGTTTGTAGCGTGTATCTTTGAACTTATTACCTCATGTATTCTTTAAGTTAATTGTAAAGCACATGACACATTGTTTAAGTGCAGAATGGAACGGAGGCAGCTCGGGCAGATGTTATTTATTGTGTTATTTGCATTAGATACGTGTACGTATATGTGTATATATATATATATATAAATATAGATATAATATTTTATAAATACATGTAGTTTATAGCGTTATACACTCGCAGATGTAACAATCTGATGTGTGCAGTTTGCAGTATACGGCGAATACGGTCTACGTTAATGCATGGAATTTCTTATTGCAATACGATTCTTAAATGCTTTTTGAAAGCAACAGAAAGTAACATGCAAGAAATACGTTTGTTGAAATATTTTCGATGACGTAATTAAGGAAAAAAGAACGAGAGAAGAAGAAATGAGAGAAACTCACAAGACTATTAACAATTGAGTACAATATTGTTATATTAATTATATTCTGCTTATATATATAGTAGATTTTCTATTCTTTAACTGCTTAAATCTTTACCACATATGTAATACTTCATAATATATATAAGAAACAATATTGCGATATAAGGAACTAGTAAGAAATTACAAAGTGAATGTAATAAATTCATGATTTCTATATATTACATAAAACACGCATATAGCATATAAGACAATCCGTTATGTCGGTATTGCTGATTGTATGTAATTCTGTCGCCTATTTGCAAGAAAGAAAGAGAATCAGAAGAGAAAAAGAAAAAAAAAACGATCGACAAAATAAACATCTGTTGTCTATAATGAAACATATCGAAATAAACTTTTTTAATAAAATTAAATAATATAGATTAAGTATTTAAGGTTTCCAAAATAGATTTCTCTATATAATTAATGGCGATATATTTACGTGTAAGTTTATATGTTTAAGTAAGTTTATACATATGTGTAAGTTTAAATTGGATCTCTTCAATCGCGCTGGCATTTGCAAATTGTCGACAGAATCTCAATTTCTATGTAATCATCAAGTTTGCCACTTTCTACTCAATTGGCGGGCAGCTTTTAATCAGAATTGTAGACTTGTGCAATATATAACGAACAAATTGAACAAGATGTACGCTGAACGAAGACATCGCTGACTTAATTTATTAGTGAATCGATTGTGTACTGGTGCACCTAATCGAATTCGCTAAGTCATGATTATTTAGGCATGCATTTTTTCAGCAACAACACAGCAGTTGTATAGTATTTTAACATATACATATCGCACTCGTATACATATATATATTGCCGTAAAAGTATACCATTGCATAGAAATATATGAATTCTATGATATGAATTGACATATTGTTTGTGCGCCATATTCCAATGTTAACATATATTGTACAAAGAACAAAATATAATGTTAAAATTATAGTGTGTTTAAAATTGATTTTATACATCAATTTATGTTAAATTTAAAATAAAATTTTAGTTCGAATTTTGTAACTTGAATTTTAATTCATATTCAATAATTTCATATATCGAATACACATATCTCGAATGTTGCAACGATTTATAAAAATAAAATTTTCTAATTTGTATTTTTAATAGCGTATGAATATACTAATATTATAATGCGAAAAAACTTTACGAGCCAAAAATGAATATTTCATTATCGACCTATTTTCAATAGATTCGATAATTAGCTTCTTTTTTACTGGATTTTCTAATCTTTATGATATTGAGTCATACATCTAAATATCTACTAGATTGTCACCGTTGAATCACTACCGTTAAAACATCATAATGTAATGTAATGAAAGAGTTTTGCATCAAATCATTCATTATCTATTTGAAACGAGCAAGTTTCGTAATTTCAGTTTGAAATATTTAAAGATTTTTCAAATAATTTCAAACTGAATATTTTATTTTTATTAGTAAAAAAATAATTTTTTATTAATAATTTTATTTTTTTTAATATGAAGAAGAAGAAGAAGAGAAATAATATCAAGTTATTATCATTTGAATTTTATTTTTTCAAAGTAATTGTATAACAATTCACATAATTTAACGCGTTATTGATAATAAATCTTTTGTACAAACGATACATGTCATTCCGGCACATGCAAAATCACGTGTCAAGCGGATTGTATCTTCGCAAGATTAATATTTTTAATAAAATTTACAACAATAAATAAAGATAGATACAATAAAATATTAAATTGAAAGTGGATCGTGTTTATATTTCTCCCGCAATCTAAGTTTGAAGGAATTCCACTTTTCAATCTAATCAAAATAGGATAACTCCTTAGGTCAATTGTTTTATTAAGAGATACAAGTCTCTTGTTGCCAAGTTTATGTAGCGTAATCACTTATTAATAATTTTACAAATTTTGTGTGTGTGTGTGTATGTTGTGTGTTGTGTGTGTGTGCATGCGCCAAAATTCTATCCTTTGGTTAAGAAAGCTTAAAATTTCTTTGTTTTGATGATGAAAACATGGATTTTAACTTATTATTTTGTAATAAATTGTATGAACCGTATGTACAAAATTGATAAGATATAAATGGAATGTAAAAGGCTCTGAAGAATGGATGGGATCTGTAAAACAAATGATAATAGATTAGATACAAAAATAATGCTCGTTATTTGATCGCAGTCAGCATATTATAAATATATAAATAAAAATTTTGGACTTACTTTGATGCATCTAGGAATTTAGAAGATTTTACAACAGTAAAATAATTACTTAGGCGAGAATAATTTGGTTCTAAAGTTGTTTCAGTTCCTATATCCAAATCTAATAGAAAATGGCATTTATCTAAATTAAACTGTAAGCAAAACATAGAGGAGTGATAATAAAGTAAAAAGATTAGATAGAAATTAGATAACAGTAGTTATAAAAATTAGATAATATTCATATTATCAATATATGATCAATATCAATATATGTTCTACGCATATAAGATAGATACTTACATAGCGTGATGGTTCTTCTTTATTCATATCATTAAAATATGGTTGTATTACATTTGTTGCATTTTCATGATCTAAGAATGATTGAGGTAATTGTCCTTTAAATTCAGATCTCAAGTATTGCAATTTCCAACTGAAACCGATTTGTACAAGAATAACATAATTCTATTAAATTAATATGTAATTTAAAAAATATGTTAAGCAAAGTGTTATTAAAGTCAACATTTTCAAGTTTGCAATTTCCTTACGAGTTAATCTTTGTACTTACTTGTTGGACGGAAAGAAAAAACTACTAGGAAAACGATGCCACTCTTTTCCAATACAAAAGTTTATGTTAATGTCATTAGGTATATCACCTTCTGTTCCAAGTTTATTAACTTCAGTCATAATTTCCATGGGAGCATAATATCCTAATTTATAATAATAATTTCTATTATATATTGTCATTTGAAAAAAATCTCTTTCTGTATATTACCCTTATATATTGCCAACGATCTTGACAGTCCTAAGATACCACACATTAGTATCGCTAGAACAGTGATGTGCGCAGTATAATGTACATAGTAAAGATCGATGTGCGATGGACTGAGTTTTGTTCTAATATAAAAATATAATTTCTGTACAGTATCCACCGCTATAGCACCTCCCAAACAAATCATGGGATATATTGGAAACAAGAACCGTTCTTCCTGTTGATATATTTATTTCATCAATCTTTTTGTTTTCTATTTTGTGTAGATCAATCGTCTATATTTATATTTAGTAATATTTTTATAAATACAAAAGCACATTTGAACAATATTTTTTTCTTAACAATACTGTTACTTATTATTATTTTATACGTACTTTATGCGGTTGGAGAAAGAATACGAGAATCCATAGATATAAAGGAGCTAATGAATACCAATAAGAACGACATAAACGTGAACGTCCTGAATGTACTGGTAAGATCAACCATGCTAAAACCTAGAACAGTAATTAAAATATTGCCAAAATGTCGCGCGTTACACAAGATGTTACAATTATTACACATTTTGTATCAGTAATATTAAGTTCTTATATTTCCATTCAAAGATGGAGCTTTAATCGACTGATTGCAGAATCGGCAGATTGTAAACAAAAAGATTGATGCCTGGCAATGAACGTTATTGATGTAATGAGACAAATTTTTATATTGTGATTTGGAAGAAAACTAAAACTTAGTTGTTGAACAAGAATGTAAAAATGTAAAATACTTATTCAATAGTTATTTGTTGAGAATTAAAGGGCTGTATGGAAATTTTTGCAGACATGCGAACAAATGATATTTTACTGGTTTTATTGCCCATATAAGAAATATTAATAATTAGTGAAAGAATTTGTAAAAAAATATACGCGCACGTATTATAATAGGAATATAGAATGAATACAGAATATATCGTATTAAAAATCTTTAGATTAAAAGAGAATTAAATTTCGCTAAAGAATCAATTATAAAAGTGCATGACTTTTAGAACATTTATAAACTATTAAAATTCTTACCAGAACTAAAGGTGCGAACAATGCGCCGATAAAAACGAAATTGAAATTCAGGAATCCATTGACAATGTAATAACTGAATGGTTCAGTGCCATAAAGATTAGGTCCGTGGCTGGTGAAAACATTGTACAATATGATATTCAATGGTGCGATGACAAGTTTGCCGAAGTATACAGAATCTACCCATACCATTGGTATTGTAATTACAATGGCGGATATAATGACCCATTTTATAAATTTAATCCAGTCTCGGTTTTGTATTAACATCTCAGCGGCAATAGGAAGTCTAAAACATAAGACAAGGAAAATACATTTCTCTTTTTGTTATGATATATATATCACATAGCGAAAATACTCTGCATTAATACAAAAATTTACCCGAGCAACGAAGCAAATGGCCATCCAAGTAATGATGAAATAGCAGTAGCAAAGATTGCCAATTCATATTGACGAGCATACCAAGCTGCTGTAGCAAAAGTACTTAGATACCTATAATGAAAATTAATATAGAAAAATTATATAGAAAAATTTATATCCTGAAAAATGCATATATATTTCACATTTTGTAATTGTAGTTACATTGAGAAAGAGGATGGTAAAAATGCAGCACTTGAAATGTACATTCCAGAGCTAAACATAAGGAATGCTAGTGTGAGCCTCGCTATGTGGATCCCAAATTCACTACAGATATACCTAGAAAATGCCATTATTGTCATAAAAAATAATGTATCAATTTTTGTTATTTGATTTAGAATATATAATATGTAGTTTCATAAAGAGAAAGAACATACTTGTAAAAATATAGTTCAGACAATGTACAACCCATAGACAAGAAGCATCGTGTGAAATAGAAAACCGATGTAGGATTTGGTTCCAATAGATAATGATAAACTTTTGCTGGTACCATGTGAATTAATAAGTACATATATGACCGTAAGGCATATTCAGGACTGTATTCCCATGTTTGTTGACCTGTTCCATAAAGCAAGTAATGACTCTAAAATAAGATATAAAGATAAGTAAAAATATCATATAAAATCATATAAAAGTATACCATAAAAGTAAATCATAAAACAAAATAATAATAATCATATTTGCATTGTCCTAGTCGAATCTAATTGAAAATAAATTTTATAAAATATCTGCTTGTAATATCTACTGTAAATTTTTTCAGCAGAATGTCAGCAAAAAAGGATGACAGCCTCTACTAACCAGAATAATGAATTAATCAATTTAAATTTCATTTAAATAATTATGAAATGATAAATATAAACAGGCTTCACTGGCCTAGAATATAAGTTTAATATAGATATTTGATGCAAATCTATCATAATATTCCATTTAAAATCTGATGGTAAACTACTAATATATATGTTATTTATTAAAATATTCTGTAACACATGTTAAAAAAATAATTATATTTCCTTAAAAAATCAATTCCAAAGTTCTAGAGTTTAATACAAAATATATATAGCATATAGTATTTTAAAGAAAGTATATTATATTGTATATTATCTGTATAATATATATTATCTATATAAGAGTAATATAAATTATAAACTTACTGGTTCCCAGTAATTATATGTTTCATCACAATCCGTTATGTGACACCACACAGCGGAACAAAATCTTGCCGATAGTAATAATTTAAAAGCTGTGTCATAGCTAGGATAATAGAATCCTACATCGGAAGACTCCTCTGATCTAAAACATGATTTAATTACACATTCTTTCTTTATCGTCCTTAAACTTTAATTATATTGTATAAATTATATGTTTATAGAATATTATTATTTTGATGTCATAGAATGTAAGATCTTTCTTATCTCTTTTTTAAGATTCACATATTTCTTATATTTTGCCATGAAAATTAGTTTTATTGAACGTAAATCAGTGTGACACATGATTAGAATGTAATAGAAGATACATTTGCCTATTTATCAATATTTTATTATATTATAGGATCATCCTTTTCTAAATTCTCATGTATTTTTTTCGAAATTTATATTCTTTGAATCATAAAGATTGCTTAATATTCAAAAATCATATGCTAAGTCAGTATAGAACATGTGATTAAAGTATTTATAATAAAGAAAGCACTTGTAACATGCACATTATTTATTGACGTTTCAATGTCATTGACAGATAGAGAAAATAGGTTAGCCGGTTTTAAAATATTTCATAATCGAGACGTTTTAAGACAAAATCATAAGAGAAAGAAACAGAAAAGCGGAGAACATTGTATATACTTTGAGGATCTCCGGTCATTGATCTTTTTCAATTCTTTCTTCGACAAAACCAGCTGTCGTTGACGTTGGTTAGGTGCCATAGTCTGTTCGTGCTTATTTATTATCCATTCCAATCACATTACTATCCACATATGTGTATGTATATGTTTATCGATGTCAGAGATCAATACGTAGGATAATTAAAACTGTAATTACTGCGTATTCGTTACATACAATCATGTGAAATTATGACAGAACATTATGAACGCACGCACGCATACAATTTCTCACAACAGGAAACCGACATGATTATTTTGTTTATTGATTTAGCATTTGAATTTTTGTAGCAATCATTTTATGCAGCATGATTTTGTTTAAGAATAATTATACATATAATTATTATTTATATTTATGTATATAATTATATATAATTATTATTTATATATATATAAACTTATATATTCTACATAATTTTGTGCACAAAAGTATTAAGATATGGATAACTAAAG